TAAAAAATGTGTTTTTTGTTTATTAAGTCTTAGAAGATACTTTTTTACTACTTAAGAGACCTGCAATATTATTCTTTGCTGAGACAATATTGTTTTCCTAAGAATTAGTTAGTTTTGCTAACTTTTGTCACAATACAAGAAAAAAACATTAAGGTATATGTGCTCATTTTGAGAATGCTAGTATCAGTAATAGTTATAATTTCTATGTTTTTCCCACAAAGAAAGGAGTTTCATAACCATTATCCACTTTTAACTCTTAAAACAATTACGTTAGCATAACCACACCCATATTATAATTGGGGGTAAAAAAAAGACAGATATTAGGGATTACAGAAAGAAAGCAATTTTCCAAAAGCTGTCCAATTTACAATAGAAATGGTTGATTTTTAAAAAATCTTTGACAGTTTTCATGCCAGTTGTGCACAATTTTATCACTCCCTTATCAATTAACAAGATTAAAGAATAAAATTGTATAATAATTATATCAAAGCACCAAGACAGCATCCAGCAACAACCAAACAAGAGACAATAAACTCAAACCAAATTGCAAACATCCTCCAAAAAAGCCAGGTTTTCCAAGATTTCATTCATAGCACTCTCTTCTAAAAAATATGAACTATACCAGTAGTCCTTTCAATGCTATCTATAATGAAGTGAGGAGATCCCAATCCAAAATAGCTTGATCACACAGAATCTGTCTTTCCAAAGATGGATCATTGCAATCTTAAAATGATGAGTCTCCTAAAAAGTTTCCAAAAATATCTTGAAGATACTTCTGTGTATTTGATAATGCAAGATTGTTGCAAAAAATCAGCAATCACACTTCAGCCTCATTACTTAAATGGGATGAAGTGTATTTTATTTGCATCCTGACTTTATTTTTACAAATAACTCAAGGTGGTGAACATATCCAATGTACCTCCCTCTTTCTATTTTTCCCACAACAACAATCATGTGAGCTGGGTTGGGCTGAGATAGAATGACTGGCCCAAGGTCATCCAATTGGCTTTCATGGCTAAGGCAGGACTAGAACTCAAGGGCTCTCAATTTCTAGCCTCGTGCCTTAATCACTAGGCCAAACTAACTCTTCCCAACCATTGTAATTGATTCTAACTTGTAGCTGAGGAAGGGAGGGGACGACAGACAGATACCACTCAAAGAAGAAATATATGATAGCAAGCTTAGTATTTGATTTTGCTGACTTCTTGAAAGAGATATAGAACATTTTATTGATCCATGCATCTATCTTCGTGAGAGAATATATTATATATTGTGGAAATTCTTCAGAGAAGCTATCATGAAAAAACTTTTAATGAATACAAAAGTGCAAGAGTTTGTAATACATGGCTTTTGAATACTTTGAATACAGACCTTGCCTTTCTATTTAAAAGCTGCAGCACAGATTTATTGTTTCAGCAATTGCAAAATATATTTTTAACAAGTGTTCAACAAGACTTTCAGTATGGATAGCTTATCTACTACATATTTTAATTGTTCTTGAGAAACTGTCTACTACCAAGTGATGACATAGTAATCATATTAAACATAAGTAGCTCTGATGGTGCCATGATTCTTTTAGAATTCTGAGCAAGATACAGAACTTTGAATAAACTGAAGCAACATAAACTAATGTATAGTCTAAGACAATAGGGGGAGACAGACCAAATACACAATGAAGTTAAACGCTTATATTTCACATAGTTTTTACTCTTGAACTATCTAAGCAAAAAAGGTCAAATATCTCACTGTTTGACAACTGTTTTTTGATTATCCACAGTAAAGAACTAATGTTAAGACCATTAAATGAGTGCAGCATCTTAAACTTTGCTTTAAAAAAAGAAAGAAAACCTACTGACCTTTAGAACACTAATGTGATTTTTCACCAAGAAATGAAAATACAAGGATATTTTATGATGGTAGTGAATCTTATCTCAGTTTGAAGGTCACAATTCAAAATTCTACCCTAGAATAACAATTAAAATATTGTTTTCTTCCAGGGTTTTAAAAAAACACTTAAACTGTAACTGCACAATTACATTTTCAGTTTTGCTACAAGATATTAGAAAAATTCAGTCTCTTCTGTAGCTCTTAGTCACATCTGACTCCAATCTTAATAGCTCAGCTATTAACCCTGTAAAATTTTCCCTTCGCAGCCCCACAGCTGATGTTAAAGTTTATCCAGGTAGCTAAGACTGAGTGAAAATAATATCCCTTAATGCAAAGAAAAATATCGTATAGATGATGAAGTATAAATGTGATTGCAATGGTATCTTATGCAAAGCTCACTTAGAATATTTATGTATTCAGTGGAACTGATTTCCAGTACTGATGCACAGTATGCAGATTTAGGATTACAGAGGCATGGGGCCTTTTAACATAGTGAGTTTTCTTCTAAGCTATATATATGACCAAGCTATAATTGTTTTAAGCTTTCAATTCAGTGTTTAATTGTGAAATAGAGAAATCTCTGTTCTCTATTTCACTAAATCAGTTTTAATTAGGCACCAGTAAAAGCTTGTTCAGCAAGCAGTTCAAACCACATAGATACTAGCACCGCTCTTCTATGTTTTCAAACCCTTCAGCAGAATACTATCATTCTAACTACCTAGTTAGAAGTAAAGTTATAACATGGAGTGGAAGTGGAGGAAAAGACTCCAAGAGTCAGTCATCTCAACTACAATTCAAGATATAAAACAAATATATGCTACTGGTTAGGACCAATCTGCCTGAACTGGTAGTAATAAAAGCTACTGGTTCAGGCGAACCAGTAGTAAAAAAATGCTACTGGTTCGGATGAACCGGTATTTCAGACGATCAGCTGTGCCGCGTAATTTATATTCGCTAGAAAGCAGGAAACCCTCGCTGTTCTACTTACCTTAGAAAAGGCTTCTTAATCCTCCTTTTTCAGCGCTGCATAGTAGCGCCTGTGGTGTGCATGTGTGTGAAATGTGTGTTTGGCGTGCACTACACATGTGTGTGCAAAGCGTGCATTTGGTGTACACCACGCATGTACATGCACAGCAAACAGTAGCGAAGTGAACCGGTAGCAGACTTCGGAGCATTTCATCCCTGAAATATAGTATCTATTTACCTTATACCTTTTTAATCTTAATGCATGGAAAATGTGGTAGTCTTTAAATTCCACTTTTTAAAATGACAGTTTGTTTCAGCTCTCTAGTTGATGGCATTTAAAAATATCAAATGGAGGGGAATTTTATTTTCACCAGCTGGGGGATCAAAGCCAGCTTTTTGACCAAGGACTCAAGCTGAAACTTCTACTAGAAACTGATGACAGCCTGAATAGAAAAATCATTCCTCTCCCCCATTCCCCCAGGCGTTTAAGAGATATGGTTACTCTTAATGGTTTAGATCCCTGTGGCAAGGTTTATGGCCATTCAAGAAGATTATTATCACAATTTGCGGGAGAAAAGGCTCAATCTTAGAAGATGCTAGACAGAGTTAGGGAAATCCCCCAAAGAACTGCCCTAATAGGGCAGACTGTTACACAAAATAAGGTATTTGAAACACTGATACTGGACTGAAGGTAATGTAGAAAGCATACTCTTGAGGGGAAAGGAAGTTGTCACCCAAGTAACAAACAACAGCTGAGCTCACACATCTGGACATACCAAAATTCACACCCATCTATAGTCAAGGACTGCTAGAAAGACAGATGGAGCTTTTGCTAGGAGTAAAAATAATAAAGCCAGATATTACCCAGAGATTGCCACTAGGTTTGTGGTTTTTAAATATTTCATCCTTTGATTATAGTGTAGCAGCTTGCTACAGTCCTAAGAGACAAATATAGCTTCTTAGTGTGAAGAATTTTTAATTATACACATGCCCTGACCTCAATGTAATAAATAGCTTTGTAAATTCATAATGCTATGCTCCATTCTAGATGTTTACATTTCTTCTGGCAGATTATACGTTCATGTGTTGGTAAGGAGCAGCAGCTGGCTGTGTAGACAGCATAGCAACACTGCAATCAGAAGTCAGTTTTTTTGGATTTGGCTTCAAGTCGGTTACAACTAACTGGAACCTGCAGTCCGCACAATGGGCTCAATAGTTGGGGCTGGTTTTTCAGAACTCTCCAGAGTTCTCCAAAGCCAAAATTGGGCATATTGAACAAAAATAAGGTGTTTCTTATACTTCTTGTTTCTCATATCTGCTACAATTCAGTTCCATGTGTACCAAGAAATACATCCATTTAACTTCTCTCTCAATGGATACAGGACCATAGCTCAAGCCCAACCAACCTTCTGCAGCCATAAGGGTAGGAACCCAAAGCCCCACTCAGCAATTTAGACAGAACTCCCTCCCACACAGCAGAGGCTTAACTCCTCTTAAAGCTAGAGACATCCCCCCCCCACAAAAAAAGATCCCCATAAGAACTATAAGCATAGCAAATAAAGTTAGTTAATTGCCTTGCGGATTATGAACGTTGGCTCTTAGCCCGAGGGCCGCGCATTCTTGATGTTCCGCATTAATTAAATTTCAGTAACTACACATTACCCTTCCGTCCCGGATTTCACATTTCTCCATCCAGAGTAGACCAGACGATGGGGAAGCACAAAATAGAGTAGCCTCATTCGATATAGCGGGATTTACTTCTCTGAACAAATCTATATGTGTTTAGTACTCATACCAAAGGTTATGGTAGCATCCCGATGTCAGAGCTTACAGCCAGGTAAATGCATTTAGGATGGCAGCCTCCACATTTCAGAGTCAAGCCGCTATTTTGCAAACCAGCGTTGCGACCACTACTTTCCGAAGCAGAAAACGGCAGCAGGCTTGGCTTTGCGACTCCCCTGCGCTTGGTTAATAAATCTCTTCGGTCTGCAGGAAGTGACAGGAGATGCTGCGGAAAGGGTGCTGAGCCATCCTGTAGCCAGGTTCCCTTTCCCCTCCGAAAAGTGAGAAGGCTCATATCGCTAAAGAACAACTTCCCCTCCCCACTTTCTCCTCCCCGGTACGCAAAAGAAGGTTTAGCGACTCACTGCCTAAGAGAAGATCTCCGGCGACGCAGCAGCCCAGGTATTCCTACAAAGGGCAAAGAAGCAACATTGAAGAGGAACCCGCGGTGCTCAGAAGTCCGGCTCGGCTCTCGAGGCTTCCTGGGAAAATCAGTGCAAGCCAAAGCTCCGCATAGTAAATGCGAAAGGGAGCGGAAGATGTCAGCTAAAGCAACCTGGAGAAGCGTGACGACCCGTCCGCTGAGCCTTCGGCTCCTGCAAGAATCAATCTGGAGAACCGCGAGTATCCCTGCTAATGGGACTCCAGCGTCGGGTGCCCACTACAATGAGAAAAGCTTTTCTCGCATCTCATTGGCTGCAGCTGGCCGCACAAGCCAATCGCCGGAGGGTGTCGTTTCTCCGGGAGTTCAGAAAACTCGGAGAAGTGGATCCCTTTGACAAAGGGAGGCTGATTTCTCCGTCACTTTGGTTAGCGAATTGAAAGGTTTTTGGAAAGAACTTAGTGGCTGAAGGAACCAATGTAAAAAGGAGGCGGAGTCTGGCAATAACGTGCTTGCTTGGTCGATGACCGATTCGGATATCAACTTGGATGTCATTCCGTGATTAGTCGGACCAAGGCAGTTTCTTGCTATTTTAAGTTGGTGGAGGCATAGCAAAGTTTATTAACTCCTTAACTTTTATTAGTTTAAATCCAGAGAATGAGCTCACCTCTTCGAAATCTTCGTCAAACTTCAAGAGAATTTCTTTTTTTTTTTTTTTTTTATTGAAAAGGTTTTCAAATACAAATTTTTCCCCCTTTCCCCCCCCCCCCCCCCCTCCCTAACCCCCCCTCCCCACCCTTCCCCCCTGTGACTTCTTCGTAACAAAAAAAAACCCTAATTCATAACGGATTACTTACTCCCTCCTCAAAATACTGACCTTTACTTACTAAAAGTATTATAAATCCCCCTTTATCCATACATTTCAGAAAAGAAGAAGAGAAAAAAAAAAACAAAAAAAAACAAACACATTATACTATAACTATTATAAAATAACTTCTAATTTAGCATAATAGTGTTTTATATCTATGCATTATTGCAACAATTCAAAACCACCTTCCACTTTAAAACTATACAATAAGTCCTACTTTAATAACATTTCAAAGCGGGCTCCCCATAAAATCTAATTTAACATTTATTCCACTCTATCCATTTCCTCCACTCCCCTAAATGTATCACTTAAAAATCCCTTTTCTTAAACTAATCAGTCTGTAGCTAGCTTATTCACCCACTGTCTTACAAATTTACCATACACAACAATTCTTGATATCTTTAATTCACTGCCCACACTACTTAAAAATATATATATATATATATTCCATTATATCTAAATAAAAAAAGAAAAGACAATAACTTTAAATTTATAGTCCATATAATATCTTCTTGAAGTCTTTCCACTGGATTGTTAAAACCAACATCCATGATAGGGTGACATAGCTTGCAGATGCAACAGTTTATTCAAGATCTCCAATCATATCTGCCCCCATCAGTAGTAAACATCTTCTTATATATATAAAAGTAAAAACAACCACCCGAGTGACATTATAATTGTATTCCATATAATAATAATTGTGGGTTTCATCAGGATTATTAATTTCCATCATCGTATTGGGTAACAACCCGATCTTCTGCATGTCCCAATGTGATTCTCTTGCCTTATAATTCAAGATAATTATAATATATTTATCAACACAAAAAGAAGTTTCAAAGTAGATAATTCAAAACCATCAATTTGAGGCTCTTTCCATGTCCCAAAATTACGGCAATGCAGAGATCTGCCACTATCCTCAGGATGATATTGACCAATATGTCGCCTCCTCTATGTTTTCACATAATCATTCATATTTTAAAATCACTGGCTTCACTGTTGCTTGGGTTAGAAATTTCTATTTTTGTACAACCTATTTCTTTTTTTGTTTTCTTTTTGTGGGTTTGACCTCCATCCTAATTTTTTGTGTCTCGCATTTCTTTTTTATCCCTTGTATATCCTCTAATTGGTTTCCATGCTTGTCCTTGCCTTGATAAGTCATCACATTAAAATCAGATGGCACTTCTCTCAAATTTGTAGATAATCCAGCTGGGGTATCCGATAAATCCAAAGGCAATTTATCTGGTACAGTCTCTGTCTTTAGTTCCAGCTCCTTCTGCTTATCCTGTATTATATCTGAAGACGTTAAATTCATTTTCAACCTATTTTGATAAAATTCTTCCGCTCTTTCAACAGTATTTAACTGGTATCTTTCTCCTTGATATCTCAATATAATACCAACTGGGACGTCCCACCGGAATTGAATATTTCTCCTTTTTAACTCAGACACCAGAAAGCCAAATTTCTTCCTTTCCATTAATATCTTAGGTGGGAGTTCCTTGTAAATCCAAATCTTTCTTCCATACAATTGCAAATTAGAATTGAAGGAATTTTGCACAATTTTATTCCTAATTTCTTTATCTGAAAAATAGATTACCACATCTCTAGGCAATTGCCTTTGCTTGGCAGTCCAGGAGTTTATTCGATAAGCTCTGTCAATCCTACAAAACACTTCCTCAGGTTGAATCTTTAAAATCCCAGCTAGAAATTCAGAAGATATTTTCCTTAAGTCATCTCTGTTATTTTCCTGCAAACCTCTAAGTCTTATTGCATATTCTGTGAAATTATATTGTATCTTTAGAACCTCTTTTTGAATCCTCTGTTGCAGATATTCTACATTACCAGACTTTTGGTCAGCATCCATTTTAAATTTTTCTTCTGAACTATAATCCTGAATATTTAACAAATCATTTTCAATTTTTTGAATTCTATTGTCCAATTTATCTTGAATTTCATCCATTTTTGACTCTAGTAAATTAGTATTTGTATCCAACCGAATCATGAATTCTGACAATTTTAAAATTTTTTGCTGCAAAAAGTCAAACTTGGATTTCACCAATTCCTTAGTTTCCTGCTTAAATTTTTCAAGTTGCTGATTCACAATCTCATCCCTTCTTTCAATCTCCTCTAAGAGAAATTCTATTATATTAAAATCAGGTTTCTGGGACTGAAGAGTTAAAACTTGTTCCTTTAAATTCTTGGTGGGGGAATCCCCCCCACCTATTTGTTTGTCTGACTTCACAAGCCTCAGTGCCATGTTTCCGCCTAAGCAGGCTTTGTTAGAAGAAGAAAAAAAAAAAAAACAAGACAAAAGACTTCCAGCCAGCAACACTCAAGCCTCCAGGGAAAAAAGAGAAAAACAAAAACAGGAGCGGAGTTTTGTCTACAAATGTAGCCAGTGGTATTTATTCCGCTACATTGTAATAATAAAAAACGGAAGAACTTTCCCTCTCAAACTCTTCTCCAGCCGCGGCAGACGCCATTTTAAAAAGAAACTTTTTTCCTCTTTCTCTTCCTCTATTCTCTTAAGTAATTTTTAAAAGATAAGTAAAATACTTGCGCTTCAGTATTACAGGTCCAGCTCACATTTTCTTTGAGTAATCTGTCAAATTCGCAGGCTTGCTTTTGACGCCTGGCTCTGCATTAGCAGAGGTCTCCCAAAGCCCGGAGCAGCGGCTGGGGATATGGGCAAACTTCAAGAGAATTTCTTGAATTTTACTCTTTAGTGACAATTACTATTGCATCTCCGTGTATGTTATGACGCTTATGCTTATAAAAATATTACTAATCTTTGATTTATTGCCAATGGCAATGTTGTCAGAATGAAGTGAAAAATACCAATTTCTATGTTTAGATGGAATTGTCTTTCCTGACTGACTGTGCTCTCAAAGAAGGTCACCATTTGATACTTCATTCCATATTGTACAGATTTTTTTTGTTCTTAAATTGCTTTAATGCAATTAAATTTAATTTTCAAATGTCCAAGGTTACATATTAGCAATACTGATAGTAAGATTCCAACTAAGTAAAAAATGGTACTGAAACATCTGAGTAATATACCCAAGTATTTTCTGATTGAGCAATAGAGCATAGACAAGGAAAGTAAACACATTAATTAATCTATATAAAAGTCAGACCAGTAATCTATACTCTTTTTTATAGAATATACAAATATACTTTTTATATATAGATTTTTTTTAATCTACCTGCACTAAGCTTCAGCGGACCCCAGAATAGTGTGTAGATCCTGTTTCATGCTGACTGGAGATAGATAATAGCTTCAGAAGATGGGCAGGGGACATACAGAAGTGTGATAAGAATGCTTCTCTTCAGGATCTTGGTCAGTATTTGTTTTTTGCCTGAACTTACTTGGCTTATTATTGGGAGGCCGCAGTGGGTAACATTCAGTTGCATGTCTTGCTCCAGTGAAAGGGATGCAGGCCAGGGGCTCGGCAGCCAGGGAAGATGGGGTTTTGGGGTGCAAAGGAGGAAGGGGCAATCTCTCCCACCCTCCTCCATCCCACTGCAGGGCCACCACGGAGCTTGCACAGGGCAGCAAGACTGCTGGCGATGGGGGCTCTGGCAGACTGGCGGCAGGGGAGGTGCTCTTGAGATCTGGGCCGAATTGCTCCATGCCAGGCAGGAACAGCCCAGGGCGAGGCCAACAGCAGCAGGTGCAGCTGGCCCAGCAGTCCAGGAGAGGTGGGGAGGGAGCTGATTCCAACGTGCCGCATGGCTTTCTGCCTTGTAGCAGCAGCCTGAGCAAGACCTGAGCTCCAGGCCTGGTGGAGCGCAAACCATGGTCGCCGCCTGCTCCAGAGCCACAAGGTGAGTTGCAAAAGAGAGGGGCCTTCAGCTGCAAGGTTGCCTGGTGCTGTGGGCAGGACTGGGGCTGGCAAGAGTGCACAGGAAACACCTTCAAGCAGCCAGAGAGACAGAATGAGAGACAGTTCCCAGCCCTTGCTGGTTCAGCTGATCTGTGGGGCCGCAATTAAGGGGCAGAGCCTCCATGAGGTGACGGGGAAGGGAAGGACTGTCTCCTGTGCTGGCCAAGCCCACCCCTTCACTAGTCTTATTTTTGGGGTAGGGCTTATATTAGGCCGATCTCCCAAAAAATCAGGCTAGGGTTTGTTTTCGGGATAGGTTGTATTTTTGGGGAAACACAGTAATAATACTCTTCTACTTTATTAAACTAGTATGCTGCTTGACTTTCAATGACTCTGGGTGGTTCAAAATAATTAAAGAAATCACAAGAAGATATAAAAAGAAAAAAACATGACAAGCACAATGAAGGAAGATGTCTTATTCTCTCTTGCCAAATGCCTAGTTCAAGAGGAGGTTGCAGGATCCAATCTGGGTCAGTCGGTA